ATTAGTGGTCGCCGTGGCTATTTGCATATCGGATCGGTAATTTCCATCTGACGGCGGTCGTAGAACGAGTCGGTGGCCGTGTGTTTCATACGTGAAACACGGACACCGGTGTGTAAGTGACGTATTAAACGCGCGTCTAGGTACCCCTCGCTGGGGGACGGCATCTACGCGCGCCATTACGGAGAACCGTAGCGGTGATTTATCCCTGCTGGTCGAATCGAAAGCGTCCTCTCGTTCCGAAATGGATATATACCTCTCGCGAGTCGCGGCGGCGTGAATTTAAAACGCGCGATGATCAGCCCGGCAGATAGGTGAAATAACAGTACGTTCCTCTTCTGGCTATCAATTACTCGTTCACTACCAAACGAGACTGCCATTTGCGGAATATCTAAGCATCGAACGCGTCGAAATATGTATTTCTAAGTCCTCTGTCTACGTGGCGGTGTTACTTTTTTTTTCTTCTCTTTCCCTCTTGCGTGTAATTCCCGAGACACGTTTGGTATTTCGGAGATCGAGCCATCGGTGATTTAAGTACCGTCGGTGGTGTGCTCGGTTCTTTCAGCAGATTTAATGCGCGGTTACATGGAATTTATTGTACGGATGACAGAGCCGGAATAGCAGTTGCCGCAGAAACTGTGGGAATATCGAGGGATTAGGAATTCGAAAGCGCGGTTTCACAGTTTTTTTTATTTTATCGCCGGTCTTTGAGGATATTCATTTGGAATTTAGCGATATAAGATACATAATTTTGCTTCGAGTGATTTGATTAGGATTAGAATAGCGATTGCCATTCATCACCCCTCAAAATCTGTAGTGAAACGATTCTTTTTCGAAAAGATATAAAAATGTGAAACATTCCCATCCTCTGATTCACTTTCCTCGTTTCCATTTCCAGCTTGAAGTTCGATCGATCCCATCAATGTCCGCATTTTATTTCCAGCCGTACAATTCGGCCACGGATTGCGTCTTCCTGCGGTCGCATTCATATTTGAAAATATCTCGCCTCCCTCCGTCTAAATATACAATTCTTTTCCAGTGTGAATTTTGCGGAATGCACGTGGCGACACAGCGGAAGAATACTTATTTTCATTCCCGCTTCTCGGTTCACGCGCGTATTTTATTTCCGCGCGTTGCACCGGCTCCCCGCCGTCTCTAATAAGCCTTTCGTATTCTCGTTTTTCGTTAATGCGGCGTCTATGCACTCGCATTACGCTTAATGTCGCGCGTCCAGTCGCTCTTAGCCGCGCGCATGCAGCCAGCAAATTATCACCGGTATATTATTGTGCTGCGTGTGCGTATAACGTGCACTCCTCTTTCGACGCTCCTCCTTTCCCTCCTCCTTTTTTACCCGTCTTTTCTTGTCCACGTTTCTGTTTGCTCTGTTTCCGGCGCACGAGTACAGCCGAGCGAAATGACGACGTTCGCGCGTGTACCGAGAGACAGACACATTATACCACCCGTGTATTTTTATCAACGGAAGTGCGTAGTTGTACCCGCGCGCATTCCTGCACAGGCTGCGCCTGGAAAAGCGACGCAGAACCAGGAGAAGGGAGCGTGAAATACGCAGAGAGTGCGTGTATTTTCTTGTTTCCCGCCATTGTCGTCGTCGATCGAGGACAGTGACAGAACTGTGGCGTGTCTGCTCGAAATTTGGACACTATTATATTTTCCCTTCGAAATTGGAAATAGAACCGTTTCTATTTCCCAAAACTAATGGATCATCAAAGGGGAGAGGGAAATCGGGGGAACGATTTAGGTTTGTTCAGGGGGTAAAAAGACTCGAGAGGGTAACTAACCGGCGCAAAGTTTGATCGATATCCAACCTCCTCCATGTTATTTCACGATTTGACTGCTTCGAAGCTTAAAAACATGCGTCAGTAAAACATCAACTATCCAGATAAGCAGATAAGGGTGTGGTGTGTGTACACACGGAGCGAACCACTTGCCCGTGTATTTGCTCGCACGGCGGCAGGCCGTGTATGCGGCCGGGGCTCCGGGAACGACGGACGGATATGTTTCGCGAAGCCATGACAGCTGCACATTCACTGCATAACCGGATCAGAAACCATGCAATCGTATCTACTTTTCTACTTACGCTTTAGTTGGGGTGCTTCGCCTACATGCGATCACGGCGAGGCGCGATTACAAGAACTTTCTTCTTTAAAACCCCTCATTGGCAGGGAGGACTATGAATTTGTTAAATACAAGCTTTTCGTTTGGAGAGCGGCATATTTGAGAACGAATCTAAATAATTTGATTCGCGATGCAAGCGTACTGTTAGAGGAGGATCGGTGAAAGAGATCGAAGGAAGCAGAGTCGCACGATACGAATGTGTAGAGGGGAATTTAACGATTCCTCGTGCTCGCAGTAATTCCTCTATTTTTCCGCGTTGATTCTCATCCGCGAGCGTTTTCAACGGATTCGCTCGCGCGTTAACCGCGCGATGGTAGATACCGCGAAACGTGGGAAACCTCTCGCCCACTTTATTACGACGCTTTGTAGTCACGCTCTCGCGCGGGCAAACACGGATTTTCTACGAATGATTCGCCGTGAGCAACGGCCAGTTTAAACCTCTCTCGTGTATCACCGTTTGCCGGCCATAATTTTCTAGCCACCTGTAAACGATCACGCTGGAATCCAGAGCGCCCCGCTTTCTAAAAACCGTAAGTAATGCAGGAAGATCGTTTCGATCGATTAAAGAGGCTGTGCTTGGAGAACGTGCAAGGGTTTGGATGTTTCGCGTTTTCTTGCTCGTGATCCGGCTCCGTTCGATAATTGATTAATGGAAATAGAGGAGAACGTGGGGGACAATGAAGGTGAACTGGAAGGAATAAACTAGATAGCGAGGAATGTGTACCTGAGATAGAACCAATTGCTTACTCGCGACCTGTTTTCATATCGTCACTTCCGATATGCCAGCCCGATGGGGCTTGATGCGTTTTTAACGAGAATAAAATAATGACCATTTACGGTAATACAGACACTTAAAATAATTACAAGTGCGATGGTATGTTTTTACCAAAAAACTTGCAAAATTTGCACAGATCATTCCAGATCCACCGGTGTTAATAAGAGAATCGAGGATGAAAGTTTCATTCCGGAATCGCAATTTTCATTTCACAGCAAATCTCGATGCTCGGATAAAAATAACACAGCTAACGGCTGAACAACGTTGTACTTGGCCGAGGATACGCTTTAATCATCCAGCAACGGGTTGGATACGTACTTTTCCCTGGTTGTTGACGGAATGCGTACGCGAAATATAATTCCCGGCTCGAGGCGGCACGTAGCGCGCGTATTATTACGTGTACGGCATCGACGTGTCTAATTACCTTCGATTCAATTTCGAAATTGCGTTTCTCTTCCTAGCAAGACTTACCTACAATATATTCAAGATCCATGAAAGAAAAAGAAAAAAAAAAAATAGAATCAGAATAAAAACGAATGATAGATAATTCTCGTTAGAAATTTTTACTGAATGGACAGAGTCCGGTGTCTACAACGCAGGAGCGTCCATACAATTAATTATTGACCCGTTTTAATCGCGTTAGGTCTAATTAGTGGGGAGGGAGTCCGTCTCAAAGTTGTTAATTAAATTGGTTAATGCGATAAAGGAGTCCATAGCGGAGTTCTCTTCGTTCCCTTTTCTCTTCTCGCCTCTTTCCATCGCCCCTCTCCGTTCGTCGTCGCGTCTCTTTTGTATCCGCTTGCAAAGAACCGTGCACGGATATACCTTTAGCTACCGTGATCATTTCAATTACACCGGGTTACACCGATCGAACCGACGACGCCGTTCCAGCTCGTGAGAAGCCGTCGTCGGGGTTCATAATGGACGCCACGCTCGACCACTTACGATGTTTACGCGCCACGGTTGCGTCGTAATCCCATTCAGAAAGTTGCTAAAATAAGAATTTCAATCGAGCGTGGTTTATCATAATTCTTCGGGCGCCTGATCGTTTCGCGAAATAATTGCTTCGCCGGTGTTTACGAAAACCCCATCGCAATTATTATCTTGAAACATATTTTTATGAAACATTTCGCCGTCGTTACACTATATCTCGGTGTTTGGCAAAATGATCGGCCGCGTGAAAAACACTTTTGTAACGACAAATTTTCACACCTATCGTGTTACATCGCTGGTAGCAACTACTTTCACGAAATTGAAAAAATAAAACAGTTTCAACTCGATCGATGGCGTCGAATTTCAACCGGTCAATACCGCCAGCCGATGTTACAAAACCGAGAACGATTATAACGGTGCGAACAAGTCGATAGTGGTCTCGGGGTATAATAAATATTCCGTGGCTTCCGTGTTTTAGCGTATGCTCGATTCAAGAACATTGCCTTGAGGGACCTGTTTACGCAGGTATTCTCGTCGAGATTTCGATCGTGTCCACTCTTGATGCTTTCGTATTTTCATCAGGGACACTGGTAGCACGCTTGCATTCTCTCGGAATTACCTATCGCGTTCGTTTCGAAAGTCGGTTATTAATTGTAATTAATATTCATAGCGATAACGACAAGCAGTAATATGTATATTACTCTATGTAGACGAGAAATCGCGTAGCAAACAAGTAAGCGATACGTATGTCCATGTAAATTTTCATCTTCCAACGAGACGATCTACGTCGCTTGTAACGCGTTACTACGAGTAGTCAATTTGTAGGTTCGGAAAGAAAAATAATTAAACGGGAGAAAGAGAAGAAGAGGCACAGAGAGTGGTCCGTGAGTCCTTAAAAGCCCGCGCAAGATATCGACGACGTGGATTAAACGCGGCTCGTTATACGTGTCGCGGTGGTAAATCGTCGTTGTAAATCAATTGGCCAGATCTGGTCAGGCTGAACGGTCTGATAAATAGGATTAACTGATTTACATGAACGAGATTCGTTCGGCCGGCATCGATCATAATCAACGCAGCCTGGAAAGGCAGGATCTCGAATTAATTTCCTTCGATGCAGACAGACCGAATCAACGCTTGTTTTCTGCTCTTTTCCTTTCAGGCGAATCCATGCCAGCACCCGATCGTGATCCTGAGGGACGTTGCCTCGTCTGACATGGAGTCGTTGCTGCGTTTCATGTACCACGGCGAGGTTCACGTGGGTCAAGAGCAGCTGGCCGCGTTCCTGAAGACGGCGCAGATGCTGCAGGTTCGAGGATTAGCTGACGTGAACAGCGGAGCTGCCACGGCCAAGATTCCGCCACCGCCATCGTCGGCTGGCAACAATGGTAGCGCACCGGTAAGTCCATCTCTAGATCTTTATTTCAAATCCTTAATTGATACAAGATTGATAATATAGATCCGTTTGGTGTGTCATTACAGGCGACGCCGCGCAATCCTTGGCAAGATAACGGCAGAGGAGACTTAAACGAGGGTGGTTTGAGCCCACCACCGGAGAAGAGACCCAGAAGTTACAGTCCACCCCTGGGCAATCATGTCGAACAAAAGTCGTCAGACCTACAGGAGTCACTGTTGGGCCAGGCTCTGGAAGGAGGACCCACGATACACACAGCCTCCACCAACAATGTACAGGTAAAATTGATTGATTCATCGTTTTCGGAAGTGTCCCGTAGGATTAGGTGATAACGAAAAGGAATCTTTGGTGATCCTAGGCACAGTCTACCGGCGAGGATTCGAATTCGATGTCGGATAACGAGGAGGAGATGTCGAACAACGACAGTATCCTGAATTCTGTGAAAACCGAACCAAGCGACATCCCGAATGACTCAATGGAGCATCATCGTAACTCGTTTACTTCGACTTTTTTGGGAATACCAGGTAATTCATTTGGAATCTGATGAATTCTTTTTAATACTTCATCGTAAATTTATATTCATGTTTGATGACTTTTGCGTTGTTCAACACGTTTAATGGAGAATTCATTGTTCGATAATAACGTTACGATTGTGATTGATAATTACAGGACTGATACCAGGCCCGTCCGGAATCCATGCGGCGAATCAGGATCCGAATTTCGGTAAGTGATCAATGCAACAATTCGATTTCACAGTTTATTACGATTCCGATAGCCCAAACTTAGTATCCTCCCGTCGTTCCCTCAAGACTCTGGTCTCTCGTTGTTGCGTTGAATGCATGGAACTCTCGTACCTCTCACAACCCTGCATTCCCTTGCCCAACTACCCCTTATGAAAAGGAAAAAAGGAATGAAATAAAATAAGGTAACATAGCGAGCAAGAGCCGCGTCTCCGACGGCTCTTCGAGTTCGTTTCCCGGAATAAATATATCGATCTTCCTCGGCATAAGCCAGGCTGCTGTCGCTAAAACAGATCGTTAGGGTTGCCATGCGAGTGCCAAGCTTCGCCGTTTCACTTGATTTCCTTTAACGAGGCTAAACACGTACTAATTGGTCGCTCGATCGGTTGATATGGTGCGAATTCAATCGACTGTTAAAACTGTTTACGGAAAAAAAAGATATGAAAGAGAAAGAGAGAGAAAGAGAAAGAGGGTGGAGGTACGGAAATGGCAATGAAGAAGGACAGAGACAAGAAAAAGGACAAGAAAAAAAAAATCTTGAGATAAAGATTTAAAAAAAAAAAAAAGTGAATATAATAAAATGAAATATAAATATTCATCGATTCGATCGCATAGATATTTGGGGAGAAACGATACACGCAATCAGGGGTGGGAACGGAACAACGTGTGTTGCTCGGACTAGAATATGAAAAACGGAAGTAAATGAAAATGAAAACGAAGGGCTGTGGGAGGACGAAAGAAAAAAAATTGAATAGTGTTTAAGGGATCGGTACGAGGTTGGCTGAGGACTGACATTGGCTGGTGGTTCCAGGGCGATGGCAGCCCTCTGGAGGAGACGGTTCAAGCTCGAGTTCCGGTTGGTTGCCGGCCACGTCCTCCACGGGGAACGATCTCGCTGGATCTGGAACTTACCAGAGCGGAGTTCACAACTCGAAAGGTCAGGATCTGTCGTCCCTCCTCCAGCAGCATCATCATCATCACCTCCACGCCACCAGCCAAGCGTCGCAGCAACACGCCCTCAATGCCTTGAACTCACTGAACTCCCTGAACAGCTTGAATACCGAGCAGCTGACGATGATGCATCAGAAACTGCAGAACAATCTGCAAAGTTTGCAACAACAGCAACAGCAACAGAGCGCCACGACGAAGAGCAAAATTCAAGAGAGCATCGCGTTGTTCCATCAGCAAACGTCGCGTCGCTATCAACAGCATCAACACCCTCATCAGACGGACACCATGAACCAGTCTGGTAAACCGAAGTGTCCGGAGTGCGGTAAAATTTATTCGAACAATTCGAACCTGAAGCAACACATCGTGAACGTTCACACGGTTCAGACCGAGTACGTGTCGTGTCACGTGTGTAGCAAGCAATTCAAAACGAAGCAATACCTTCAGATACATCTGTTGTCGATGCACGGAATCAGAAAACGAAAGAGTTATCCATTGTACCAGATGCAGACTCAGATACAACAGCAACAATCCGTGCCGCCTGGCTCGCAGATATCTGGCAGTCAGCAATCGCAACAGTAATACGACACACGCGATGATACAAGAACGAAGGGATGATCGTGTGCACGTGACTTGTGTATTTATTTACGAACGAAAATCGATGAGAAAAACGTGATTTCACCCTGATCCGAAGGGGGGTGGAAAAGACAAAGTCGACGAAAGTGAACATCAGTATTTGAGAAAACCGAGTCTGAACTTCCGGATTGTCGACAGGAAGACGACTATTATAAGACCTCGCAATAATCTTCGTAGCAATTGTTGATAAGTTGTAAAATTGTATAGGGAAGTATTTACGAACATTCGATAGATAGATAGTTTGAATTTGTTCGTTCGTCTCTACTTCGGAGTTCTCTTGATAGTTAAGGATAAGAGGAGAGAGGTGGCGATAATACTAGGCAGAGGAGGGTGAAAGGAGGGTGCTGATACGAGGATTGGCCGACCTATTTTCGTATTGTACCGCAGTGCGCAGCCAATCCTTTGGGGGCTGCGATAAATAAGCTCTCGCGATTGGCCAACAGAGACTTCTTGAAGTTCTCTCGCAGAGAATTCTTATCGGCGTAAAAATAGTGTAGAATAAGAAGATAGAAAGTGGTTCAGCTAAAACTCTATTCACCACCTTATTTCTTTTTTTTTTTTTTTTTTTTTTTTTTTATTCGAGGGTGCAAAAGGAAAACCAGGTCTCCGCGGTAAAAAATACTTAACCGATTAAACTTTCAGCGGAATCGTTTCGTTCGTTCGTAAATTAGAGCGAAGAAATTATTTTCAAACAAGCTAAATTCCACGATTTGGGACACAATATTCTCGCTTCGTACATCTCTGTAGGCAGCTTTTAAAATATTGACACGCCTGGCTAAAACGAGTAGCTAGCAATGCAACGTGCGCGTTCCATTTGCTCTCTGTCGCTTTTCCGTCTTGACGAACCACATTTCGCTGCATCGCACCGCGTGTGTACGTGTGTGAGAGAAGGTGTACTTTCCGTGCACACGTGAAAACACACACGTACACACGTCGAATGCCCGCGCACATTTAGGCTCAGGGAATTACGAGGCAGAAAGAGATAGACTGGCTTGTATTGATCTCGAGGATTCAACAAACAGCACCTAGTGCCGCCCGCTCCTTCCTCTCCAACTTCACCTTACTCTTCCACCCTCTGCCTTCACCCTCTTTAGTTCGTTCTCCACGTATTCCGCACAATTCGACTCGTCTTCTGGATAGAGTTTGATGAACAACACCCCCCTTCTCAAAGATAGTTTCCAGCCTCCTTGCTGCCGGTTATATAGGTTTCTTGTGCTTCAAATTGATTTATTCCAAAGACGAATAGATCTTAATAGAAATTCGCTGGAACTAAAGTTTCAAATTAAACTTATACGCTTCGAGAATAGAAAAGATACGATGAATCGTCCGTGGATCTAGTGTCCATCGCTAATGGGGTGTGTGTCGGTCTCGAGCCGGTAGATTCACGTTTTTCAAGGGTGAAAAGAAAGAAAGTTGCACGAAACACGCGATACCCATCCCTACGAGCACGAGCCACGCGATGCTAGCTCACGATCAGCCTATCACCCTCATTGCGAACCCCTGACAAAACAAACCCCGCCGGTTTATCCAATTCCACGGTATTTCCACGAATCTCTTCCATCTCCTGTCCGTGTTACCCAACCCTGACGTTCGCAGTTCCAACGTAATGGAGGTGGATACTCGCATTTGTTCCAGTCACACCCTCTCTGCCCCTTCTAACCCTTCTTCGTCTTTCTTTCTCTTCGGTTTTTACCTTCACCCTGCTGGTCGGTTTCTTCGTCTTCTTATTTCAAGACAACCGCATGAAACTGCATCGTCTTTGAAAGCTGCCTCCCCAAAGGCTCTTGCAAGAAACCGCTCCGGTTTTCGAGGAGCAAGGGAAAAGAAGTGGTTTATATACTTCTTTTATTTTTACTTTGGATTTTAAATCTTAATTTTTAAATGCAGTATGTCTTCGTTATTCGCTGCCTTATCATTAGTCATCCAATCGGAAATGCCAGCTTACATTCGTAAGATCGGCTCTCGATTCGCTTCACCCCTCCAGATTAGAGTGATCTATCACCCGGATTCGATCCGGATAACTTTGCCGTTCGTTTCGCTCCCGACTCGATTCTTATCACCCTGACGAGTTTCCCTGATAACAATAGCGTGCTCTTTGCTAACATTTCTGCTTGTGTACGCAATATCCTCCGCGTATGTAATTTACGAAAAAAACTTTCTTCGATCAAAAAAAAAAAAAAACGAGGGATGGAAAATGAAAAGTTTGCCGGGACAAAAACGTAATCTGTCTCGAGAAACAAAAACAAGGACGAGGAGGAACAGGAAATGAGATGGAATATAGGATATTGTGGCCTACTTGGGTGGCAGCGATCAGATACATCGAAGGTTTCGAGGGGGTGGGAGAAGGAAGATGGCTGCTGGTAGAAAGCAGGAAAAGGACCGGGTGAAAGAATAAAAATGGGATTTCGTGCGATAAGCAGACCGAACCCGGATCCGAGCCGTACGTCGTCGAGTTCAAATGTTTGTCCGCTCGATTCCCTCTTCTACCCCAACGTAGCGTATTTTTTTGTCTTCGCTATTTTTTTCTTTTTCGGCCCACCCACGGTCCACCTTATCCCGATTTCACCATCCTTCTCGTTTCTTGTCTACTTAATGTTCTGGAATCCTCTTTTTCTTCGCTTTCACCCTCGTGGCATGCACGTGCTGGTCGCGCGCGCGTGTGCGCGACCAGCCAACAAGAGGGGTTGCTCGACCCGAAGGGTTCACCGTATATTGCGTCGTCCGGACAAATGACAATTGCAATTCCTTTTCGGAATCTATCGTATTAGTCGTCCGGATCCCCTTAGATTGCAAAACTACCTGTCTTTTTTTTGACGTGTTCGCAAAAATCATTCATAATGATAAGTGTCTTCTATAATTTCGATTTCTCTCCTCGTGAACTTAAAAAGGAGTTATAAAAACGACTTAGAGAATCATAAATGCTCTCCCGGCCATAAGGTGTACAATTTTCCACGAGTTAGGCGTCCCATAGCCGGCGCGTTTCTCCTCGAAATTGCAAAAGTTTTCGCGTGCCATCGAGAAAAATGACGGGACGAGCGCAGCTGGAGCGTGCGTGTCACATGGCGCCTCGTATCTGAACTTTGTTATTCCGCTCGTGTACGCTCGGTATCGCTCCACGAACGCGTTCTTTCTTTCTTAAGTCTCATCGTATCGATTCGTTCGTACTATCCAGGCGAGAAAGGAAATGACTAGGATGAAAAAAAAGAAGGAACGAAGAAAACGGAAACTCGTTTCTTATCCCGGCAAGATTTCATAACAAACGAAAGATAGCCAGAGTCGTGATGATCGTTCGCGAAGTTAATTAAAGAAACTAAAGCCTTCCGGTGCGAGTGCGGCTTAATTAAATCGCTCTCTAATTAACGAGGATCGTTTTTCAACTCGGTATCCCGGAGACAGAGG